CACACACACACACCCACGGATAAGAGCTACCTACACTATCAAGGTCTAAATCTTCAAGTCCTTAGTCCTAAGCCTAGAATGCCTGGTAGCCCTGGCTCTGTAAGCTCTACTGACCTGTAACACTCTATTTGTAGTATAGTCGGTTCTTCGCATCGACAAGAAGCAGGGTCCTGGGCTTATGGCTTGCAGGGTTTCTGCAAGCAGTCAGCAGACAATCCGAGCGAGAGCGACGATTTAGATGTACAAGTTACGAATTAGCCTGCCTTTGCATTTACAGGCTTTAGGGTAAATAATCTTTGCCGGTCCTCCATCAGCAGCCCGCGCAGATCGCAACACTTCCTTGAGGCTGGCTTCAGCCTGGAGACCGAGCGGAAATCTCGTTGCCCGGCATGTCAAGATTTGGAAAATCAGAGGGATGAAGATGTAGGGGTTGTGGGGATTATGATTTTAATCAGGGTTGACGCTTTACGGGCTTGGGATGTGAGAGTTTAGTGAATGGCTGAAGAGTGCTATAACAGGTTATTGTGCTTAGGGTTCCTAGAACAAAACCGTATTGCACAGGGAATTGGGCCTGGCTTGCATGGCTCGGGATGTAGAGCTTACGGCGTGTTGTTTGAGGTTTTACATTCGTGCAGGGTTTGTAATTATATTGGAAGCGAGGATTTAGGGCAGGCGGGCCTCGAAAAGTTTTAGGTTGCTGTAGGTACGATTCATGGCTTGACCGTCCCAAGGCCAAAGGGCCTTGGTAGTAGTGTGTGCGGCTGACGGAGTAATCTAGGAGCACTCCCGCAAAGCCCCAACCGCATGAAAATTAGTCTGGTTCTATTGCATGTATGCACGTGTGTACTCACAATAACAGGATATAACAGGCATAACCATACGTCTGCAGGAACCATACTTATCATGTTGGTAAGATCAATATGTTCAAGACTGAATTCTGTCAGGTCTTCCCCATACAGCGGCGGCTTGAGGAGGAGGAGACGCACGGATCGTGTGATTCAACACGTTCTGAGAAACAGTCTTGTAGGGTTCTTACTATGCGATTTGACAAGGGCTTCGTAGGGGTTTCGGCAACCTTTCATGATAGAGCGGCCTCAACGCTGTTTAGGGTCAAGGTTTGGTGTTAATTGTGGAGTTTTGCGGGTGTAGGAGATCGTCATGCTCCGGGGCTGGTCAAGGAGAAACCGTGAAAGGACCCCTAGCCCGTAGCTGCAAGGAAAGGATCCTAGCCTGCTGCCGGTATGCATACCTACAGTTTAGAGTTTATGCAACACCCGGCGTGGACTGTGTTGAAGACATTTCCATCAACACTACTACTATCTACTCTGCTGATCAAGCAGCAGTGTTTATCCTGCATTATGAGCACACAGCACACGTATGAGAAAAGTCAGGGTCTGCCATGTTGGGGTGAGCAAGCCAGCTGCTGTAGCTCCTCGCTCCTTGGCAGTGCACATGCTGTTTTGTAGGTCGTTTCAGCAACTCCTCCGAGATGTCGCTGGGGGCTGCAGACCACCGAGTCGAGACTGCAGGAATAGATCCGTAATTCATTTCACGCATCCCTCCAGCTGCTCGTGCTGCTTGTGCTGGATAAACTGCTACGACGATGGCTGCTGCAGTTTGTACCGCTTCCACAACCATGGCTACTACTAGCAACAAGAACCACCCCCACCCCCACCACCACCACCACCACCACCACCACCACCACCACCACCAATGCGACAAGGACTGCAGCGACAACTGCGAGTACTGCGACTGCTACTGCTACTACTACAACTACTACGACTGCTACTACTACTACTACTACTGCTGCTGCTGCTGCTGCTACTACTACTACTACTACGACTGCTACGACTACGACGACTACTACGACTACTACGACTACTACGACTACGACTACGACTACTACTGCTACTGCTACTGCTGCTGCTACTGCTACTGCTACTACTATGCGAACTACTATGCTACGTACTAGCACAGGCTGCGGCTGCTGCTGCTGCTGCTGCTGCTGCTGCTGCTGCCACTTCAGCTAGTGGACTCTACCTCTGCTACTACCCGCTGGGCGGTTAGTCGATGCTGGCCGTGTGTCTCGTTTGACTTGAACCATGAAAACCTAGAGTCCAATACCCAATGGGTATGGCATGCAAAATCGGTCCATTATCTACGACGCACCGTTGCACGCAGGAGACTTGCTCTCCCAGCGGCCGGTTTCTGCAGGCCAGATCCGACATTGTTTCGGCAGTTTGGCATACTTTGGTTGAAGATTGGATGCGAAGGATGTGCAGTGTTCGGGCTCAAAGGTAGGTGTCGGATCATGGGTTGGATTGGAAAGCTATTCACATGTCTTGAGCACCCAAGAACCCCGAAATAGCCGAAGCCCCAACCCAAACCCCGAACCATTCAACCCTGATTATGCTAAGCCCTAAACCCTCAACCCTACACTGTACCTCAGTCCGAGCCCCAAGACGAAACCGCGCGAGACCTCCGCTGACTGGTGCTCGAGCGTTCCCCGATCGGCCCCTGGCTGTGGAGCGGAAGATTTCCCCAGATCCATAACCCACTGGTTTACACAAGGGTCATGGAGGTACCATGGTTGTGAAGTACATGAGGGTGCACCTGTCACTTTGCTTCTCTTTGCTCGCCCAGACGTTCAGTCAGCTCCACCCCACAATGGCCCAAAATCCTCTTCTACTTATTCAGTCCCCTCTATTTACACTTGTTATAGAGCCTTGCGTCAGTTTGAAAAGAATCCCAGCCTTGGATCCTGAGCAAATCGATAACCGTAACCTAAGTTCAATGAAAACCTCTAAAAATCCAAGCCCTCATCCAAAATTGGAGCCGCACGCCCTCAAACCCGAACCTGACACGTGAGACGGACACCACCATCACAGTTCCTCGGGCGAAGAGGATCAAGGCGCCCCGAAGGATTTGGAACTTCAGGCTTCAGAAGTTGCAAAGTTGCAGTATCTTTCCCATGTGAGTTCTTGCTGGCAAAAGTAGCTGGCCCTCCACCGACAACCGTCCGAATTTTGGAAGGGATTTAGGGTTTGGGTTTTTATTTGGGTTAAGGAAATCAGGTTAAGAAGCTGCAGGACTCAGCGTCCGGGGTTTTGGGAGCGTGCAGTTCCAGTATGCGGAGCTGTAGATTGATGAGGTCACTTGTTGAGTGCACGGTCTCGAGAAACTAGGCTGAAGGGTTTCGTGCTTGCAGCCCCTTCTTCTGGTGGATGTGACCTTCTTTGCTGAAAGACCAAGGACTGTAGATCGTGTGAGTATCCAACTCCTGAGCCACAGTCCTGAGCATGGCCCCAAACTGTTCAGAACCTCACTCTGTGTGGCAGAAGATGAGCATGTGCTCAGTCAGGGTAATTCTGAAAGCTTCAGCCGATAGTTAGGAACGGCACCACGTATAATAAGCTCAGACAGACCAAGACAACTAGTTGTCTCCTTTGTATATATGTTGAGTGAGAGAAAGAGGCGGCAGACGGAGACAGGTGATAACCTCTCCTTCTGCTAGTCTTTCCACTTAACTATGAGTTATGATTACAGACAAGCACACTCAAGTGTGAATATGTGTAGGGCTTTGGACAGAATAGATCCCGCTTTTGGTGCGCAAACACTAAGCCGATACTTCGACTGCAACTCCGCACAGGTCCGAACTGTGTTTGGCATTATTCCTGACACCAACACCAAGCTTCTGGGGGAGAGGAGCTTGTTTTCTGGTCCCGGATTTCGTGTTTTGGGGCGAGGGATAGCAGGCAGCAGCAGCAGCAGCAGCAGCAGCAGCAGCAGCAGCAGCAGCAGCAGCAGCAGCGGTCGTCGTCTAACCAGTCGGAACCGCGGCTTCACGTACGGGTTCAAACAAATCGCAGAGTTAAGTGACACTGCTGAATTACCTTGTAAGCCCCGAGAAACCCTTACACCACTAGCCATGTCTCGGAACCCTGTGCCCGGAAGCGTGCATTCATGAATGAAGCCTAAACAGTATGTCCTAAACACTACATGGATCCTGAGCCTTATTTACGTGCGTCAACAAGTTCCAACAGAAATGCAGATAAAAACTTTGGACCACATGGCATGTACGTACGTAGGCAGGCACGCAAAAAGGCCCTCTCCAACAACTTCTGACACATGAGTCAGAACAAAACAATGCAAGCACAACTCCCGGGAAGTCCTGGGGAACAGGACACCTGAGGAAGTCTGGAGCTTCAGCGCTTCCTTCGACCTATCCGATCCCTGGGCCCAGCGGGCAATGCAGCTGGGCCCGGCTTTGTGGAGCTTTTATAAGAAGTGGAAGTCTGAAGGCCCTATACCTCTAAACGGGATAAAGGTTTAAGGGCTCATCTTCTACTTTAAGGGCTTCTGGCCCAGCGAGCATACATCAGGATTCTGAGCCAACCCTAATCCCTGAAAGGTGCAAGGGTTTCGTAAACTTGGGTCTTTGCAGGGACTAGGGCTGAGGGGTCCGGGATTGTGTTCTGAACCATATGCGGAAATTCAGAGGATCACTACGGGACCATCGAGGAAGCCCTGAGGTGTCTGCCATGAATTTATATTACATGAGTAGACCTACAACATGTGAAGGAACCCCAATGTAAAGCAGCAATAGACATAGGTCTGTTGCATGCCAAAGCCCCACATGGTCACACATGCCTTTTCTCCGGACCAGGTATTTCTTTTGCAAGGACGTACCGGAAGAGCTGAAAATCACAAGGCGCACTTGGGCCTATGCACCTTAGCAACCCTGCAGCCAGGCACTTTAAAGGTTTGGGAAGCCTCTTCCATGCTCTTCGCTCTAAGTGCCCCCACTGGCGTCGAAGGGGATCCCAAACACTACAATCAGAAACCCTCATAATCGTTTGGAGGAGCTTTGAACCTTCCACAAACTACCCATCCGGTGAAGCCCGATGTACGACCGCCAGTTCAGGGTTCGCCCTGCAGCCGGGTTCCCTCGAAATTCCCATCTCTCTAGTCTAAGCCGATCCTTGATTTGGGGCTATATGGCTTAGGAGCATGCACAACTTGGGTTGCAGTATTGCTCGTAGTGCTCTGATACTTCAGAGGTGCCCTACCAGGAGAGCTCTTGAGGCAGTGCATCAGGCTCGAAGGGGGCACCACCCACACCTTGAATCGTTCGGCTTAGCGATCAACATACACCTTAGGTTCTAGGAAATTTAGGGAGGAAGCCTAGACCCTCGAGCCTTAGTCCTAAACAAGCCCTTCACATTACCATCTCGACCCGCACGCTCCCGACTCTGAGGACTGAAGTCTAAATCCAAATCGGATATGCCCCGAGCCCGAATGAAATGGCCTGGATGCTTCACCCTGCAAAATCCTTTATGAGACCGTATAGGCTTCCCACTCTGTATGGCCCCTTTTGCTGACCCTGCACAGGCGGTGGTGCTGGTTTGAAGACTTCCGTCGCTCGCCTGAAGCTTTCGGTTCCAATGTAGGGGCCTGAATAAGTAGAACAGGAAGTTGGGGAATTTGTTTACAGCTGAACTGCTGAACCCTAAACCGTAAACAATAGCCATTCTAGTGATTCAGGCCTTTACACCAACTAGCGGTGGCCAGAGGGTTGAACGGGCTTGGACAGGCCTGGGATATCGTGGCTGAGGGTCGAGGTTGAGGCCAGTACTTATAGGGTCTAGAGTCCAGGGTTTGAAGGTTTTGGGTTTAGGAGTCTAGGTTCATAGAACTTAAATATGCCCTCAAGATCTTAGGATGTCTCTCTGCTTCGCTGCTTCGGGCAAATATGTCATGCAACTCCATATCAACCCCAGAGCAGTCTCCCTAAGCTCTCGGCGCCTCGGTCCTCGAGGCACCGTGAGTTGACGGAAAGCACGATTTATGCTGGTGACGGTGCTGGTGGAAGCAGAAGCAGCAGTCACAGCCTGCAGAATCTTCAGGACCGTAAGCGTGAACCCTTGTGATCCCAAAACCTCTTCAGTCCGGAACCGAGCAACTCTCAGCCGTAGCCGTTTCAGCTTTAAACCAGTAACGACTCTAAGCCCGCTCTCTGATCCCCAATCACCAAGGCCTCTTCTCGCGGCAGTTTCAGGGCCGTTTCCCAGTGAAAGCCATCGATTGGCCCGTCCTGTCGAAGCTTTTTGCTGCTTGCTGTTAACGCGGGTTTGTAACGGGGAGTTGCGGGCCCTTGCTGCTGGATGTTTACCTGGATTTAGGTTTTTTCAGGATTCTGCTGCTTGGCGTTCATAGGTCTGATGGGTTTGCTAGGGCTTATCGTGATGTGCACAGTTTTTTTGCAGGGGCTCTTGGATTTCACCGAGTCTGATGTACGGTGCGTCTTTGACTTTGCTGTGGTTGAGGGCTCTGGACTGGTTTGTGATTTTTGCTGCCTGGCTACGATCAGGTTTATGGAAGTTTAGGGTTATAAGAATCTTAGCCGGCTACA